CTTCACCTAATTGGGCGGTCGGATCACCCTTGGTGGCTTAAGGGCCGACGAAATCTCTCCAATAATACAAAAGGCTCTATTGGCTTTTATCAGCCTACGTTAATTATGGCTTCTTTATCATATCTGATCACTTATTAAGAGTCAAGTGTGCTTCGCTGCAGTTCACTGTCTTCTACTATGTGGCTACGGAACATGTTCATTGAAGGTAGAAGACTTGAGATGGCTTAAGGCCTTCAACAACCCCTGCCTTCATTACATTATTCACCTGTCGTGGAACCATCCCGACAAAGAGAAGTGTTAGTTGGTGAGGATGCGGAAATTCATCGATTTAGATGACTGCAACATGTGATGTACATGCTTGGTCATCATCTTACTTGTCGCTTCAATGTTAGCTGAAATAGGTTCAGGCTGGAAAAAGGTCAGAGTCGGCCAGACTAAAACATAGTGTCAGACCATGAATCCTCCAAATATTGGTCTGAGCCACGTAGAGCAATATAAACTCCTTTATTGATGTCCGCATGACATCCGAAATCGTAGGTTGTGATATGGTTCAAAATCGATCATTGTGATGCAGATGCTTCCGAAAATTATCTTCATTATGAGCGTCATACTGAATTTCATTATTGTTTCATTCCTTCTTGTTCTCTTTTCAACACTTCCTACCACATTTGATTACTTTCTTCCTTACTTCTCTCTCTCTCTCTATCCTTCATCTGTTTGCCCACTAATTCGAAATGGTGATATGAGGTGTAGCATCTCAAATCGTTCCTCAGTAATACCAGATCCCACGGTATTTTTGACTAACCGAGATGGTTTCAATGAATATTTCTCTAAAAAACTGAATGGAAGAGAACAGATCAATTCAAGTGGAAATTACAACAGAAATAACACTAGTGTTTGATTAAATAGAATGGCGGCTGACCTGGCCATAGTTCTTGATATGGGCAGAGGAACATTTTAGCAACATAAATTCAGAAGAGTCAATGGAGAAGGAAAGAAAGGAAACAAACAAAGTTTCTCAGTATGTCAATCAGGAACAACTGAAGTAAATACTCACCCTTCCACTGGTTAACCCAGTCGGTATGCTACAAATCCTTATGAATGATGTACAAACTTCACAACCTGGTGAGACAAACCTGAAGATGACATTGTTGATGTTGTGAAAAGCTTTCCACGTGAAAATTCAAGCTTGCAGTGCATTGATACTCCAAAAAGATCTATGGATACTTGTCACTATGTGATACTGGATGGTGGTAAGCTTATAACACCAACCAAAGTTTCCATGTACTCTGTCAACCTGAGATGTGATAAAACGGGGACAGTTCTGAGAGTCAAATTATAGACATAAAAATTAAGATCAGTATCAGATAAAGGGTTAATGTCTGTTCAGAAGTCAAATGACTTGATGCAAAACTGCTTCACAATAAATTGTTTACATTTCAGTAATCTGAAATAATTAGTCCATTTTATGAATTTAGATAGTGTAATTAGAGGATGAAGTTTATCTGAACAGTGTGATGTGTTTGTGAAATATATTTCGAATCCCATTTCTTATTACCTCAACTTTACTGAGGGAACTATTATTTCTGTTTACCAACAAAGTTCATTTCACATTTGAAGGTGAACGCTTTCCGCAAATTGATGGTGAAGCTGTAGGTAGTCCTCTAGGACCATTACTATCTGATATTTATATGTCATATATCGAAAATGTAAATGGTAATCTCATCGGTAAAGTTTCTTTTTACAAGAGATACACAGGTAACATGTCAGTGATTTGTGAGAGGTATGAGGATATGACTTGTCTACTAAAAAGACTAAATGCCATACAAATTGACATCAGTCTAAACTTGTGAGAAAAAGAATAGTGATCACCTGCCATTCTTAGATATACCACTGAATCGACTAGAAGATGGTTCAATTAGATAGTCAGTTTACAGAAAGCCTACATGGACAGGAAGGATAATATCTGAAATTTCACAGCTGTTGTGCAATCCAATCCAAGCGTGGCCTAGTAAAATGCCTGTTTAATAGAATCTATTTTATCTGTACATCAGATACGATGGATGAAGGTTTCAAATTACTGACCAAAACACTCATGGAAAACGGATATCCGTTGAAGTTTATAAACCGTTGTAGAGGCCAGGTAGCACTGAAATCAATTCTACATACAGCTTCCAGGACAAGCGTCCATATCACTGTGTCATACATACGGGAGTTGAATGGTATAATTTTGAAAACACAAGCTTCACCACAAATGTAAACACTGCATCAATGATTACGTCACATCCCATAGTGTCTATTAGTTAACATGTGTGTGTGTGCGTGCTCACACATACACAGGGGGAAGTAATCGAACCATGCAGTTGAGGCTGAGAGAACATGTATCTAAATGATTTCAAAAACAAATGGAAATTGAAACCTTGATAAATGCCGGTGGGAACCGACCCTCTTCATCTATAACTAACCATATCATAGAAACAAGACAGAAAATAAATGGTCAAATAGCTTTGAAGTTTTATATAGAAACAGAGGGATGTATACCGAGATTTGCGGAAACCATAACCATACACTGATTGAAACCATCTTTATGAGCACATAAACAATTTGTTCTTACACTACACCTACCTTGGTAAACTTTGTTTTTCTTAGCAAGATTAGGATCACCTATATCACTCTTCCAGTTTTTATTCTCATCCTTCTTAATTTCAATCCCTTGTAACCTTAAGTGTTGTATTTGTCCTCCCACTCTTCGGTTCAATATATGTTGACTTGACAAGTAAATGTGTGACCAGATTGTTCGAACTGTGTTATTGGTTTCGAACGCTAATGGTAATAAATATATATTCCGGAACGAATATAATACGCACGCTTAGCTGAAAGCTAACTTGGTACGCAAGAGCCATTTACTGCAACCGCGGGATGAATAGAGAGAAGACCGAAGCTGGTAGATGGGAGAGTGTATTATTCCGAGAATATAATAATAAAACCAATCCCAAAACATGTGAATAAGTACACACATGAAAAATGACCTTGTCCTCAATTTGAGACATTGGCATAGTAAGAGTAAGGGTAAACCAATTAGCGATTTGCATTACAATGGGGGCACAAAATAGACTACTAGTCATACCGTAAAAATGGTATGCGAATGACACGTTAAAATATTCAGATCAATAACAATGCTTTATACAAAATTGAGGCATCACAACAAAATGTATATTGAGCAAATACATCAGTCACATTGTTCAAATAAACTTTGTCTTCTAGTTATCATGAAAGAATAAGGTGAGCTAATGAAGTTGCCCAAGTTATTGGGTTGGCATGCTTTCAACGCGTAAGCTACTTTCTGCAACCCCAACTCAGAAATAACTAGGGTAATCAAGTAGTAAGCCAATCACATATTTTCTCTTCACTGACGGTTAACTTATATGAGTAAGTTGGAATATCAGCAGGATATTATTTCCTCTTCTCAGTTTACTCTGCAAAGATATCAGAAACTGATAATGTACTGATGAATAGGTTAATCCACTTATGGAAATAATATTTTATACGTGTATCACAATATAAAGTTAATTATAGTTGGAACTTTTTAATATAACTGGTGTTTGAGAAGGCATTTTTGCTTTCATTAAATATGTGTTAAACATCATTCCGAAGGCACATGTGTACAAATGTATGTATACTAAAACTGGAATACTGATAATTATTTTTATAAAATTGCAGAAGGTATTCTCCTGTTAGCAGTAGATGATGGGATGGTACAAAGAGTAGATGGAAATTCTTAATGTGTATTCTGCTATTTTTCATATGACCAACTCAGAAACCTACTTTGTAACTAGTTATACGGTGAAGGTTTTTTTCAATGTAATTAGCACCTTACTTATTTACCGAATCCCAGCTGAAATTTCTGCAGTAATACAACTCGAAATGTATTGATTTCCGTTAGCGTACTTCAACGTACTGTTACGTTTCATTTCACCTAGTATCAATAATGTTTATTCAAGATGGAACATGCCATTGACCTGAGGTGGAATCTCAGAACACTTTGATGTTGCCAAAGTAAACAATCGAACAACAGCGTGTAACGTTAGAAGAGGATAATTTCAAAGTCCACTGACAAAACAAATAAAAGAACTTTTTATCATGTAGCAGTAAATAATGAGATAGGAGTATTATCATTATATACCTATTAAACTGTGATATTTTAATAGATTTTATGTGGAAGCGAGGCTATTTTAAGTTAAACATTTCCGAGTAACAAGTATCGGACTATGTCATCAATAATCACTAAGTTGATTTGAGTGTCCACAGATCTCGGTAGTTCTTCTTCACTTCAACACCAGATATTTCTCTTCACATTTTTCTTGTTAATGCGATATGATTTCTCAAACTGAACGTGTACAAAGTATTCTATCAAAGTTTTGTATATCAGACATATCAAATTAAACGGAGAATATTTGATAAGTTCCCATCAGGTTCTACAAGTGTAAAGTGGAAGTGCACAGCGTAAAAACGATACACATTTGGAGACGAATACACTTTCAAAATGGAATGATGTTGAGGGACTGTAGGGAAATCGATTTTTCATACTACTACTACTACTGACCAACTTGAGTAGTTAGAAATCACTCAGACCGATCTATAGACTTGTGTACCCAGATTGGAGTGATCTGGTCACCGGATGGTCATTTTGTTTTTTTGGAGGTCGAGACTATCAGTGATGTACCGAAACATATTAAGCTGATACAGCCGAATTAGTTTGCATCCCCTAAATCTTGTTAGTTGACTTACATGGATGAATAGATTCATTATAAATGAAGTCAGTGATCTTGTTGCAGGTGAGATGTGTCATTATTCTAGTGAAAATTGTTAAGAAAATAGTATTGATGTTTAGAAATTGGTGTCTTTCAATATTTATGTGCACCTAATATGAATTTGTTTTGTAGAAATTTATAAAAACAAGGTTGATATTTCCTAACTTTATCTCCAACTAACAGGTAATTATGAATAAGTACATGTAAAGTGAGAAGAAATGAAGTGGATATAAATTGGAGATTAAGCTAACCATGAATTTTATTGTGATCTCCTTTCTAGTTTGACTAATTTATCAAGAAAAGCTGATGAAATAGATACACCTGGTATTTTCTCCAGTGTTGTTTTGCTTAACTTTGATTTAGAGACATTCAAGTGAATTTTAGACAGGTATAACAAAGCCAAGTAAAATAAATTTACAGAATTTAGTTGAATCTACTGTCTTATTGAATAACGTTTCGGATATATACATGTTTCTGTGTTGGTTTTACTCTTCAAGATGCGTACAAAGTGAGCACACTTGATTATTAGTCTTCGATGAACAATCATCATATAGAATTTGATAACCGCATCTATTACCCTTTGATGATTAACTTGTGAACATATTTTATCCACATAGACAATCAGTTGTGATATGAATTATAAAGTCTATAGATTGAGTAATGTGTGCTATGCTTGCACTCTGTCAGATAGGGATATGAGTTGCTTCAATGTTACTCATAGATCATACAGTTTAGTTACAACAAGGAAGAAACTTCGATCAAGGAGATCATCATGACAACCAGTTTCTAGCAGTTAGTTAGCCATTAAAACATTCTTCAAACAACGTTGAGTATCTACTTTATATCTTTTTATTGTTATTATCAATATGGAATATATAACTAATCATTGATTGTTTATCTTCATTTCCTATTTCTATTCTAGGTCGTATATCATTGAATGAATTTAAGCATGCGTGTTTACGTTTACCTAATTGGACAGAGATTAATGAAAAAATTGTCATGGATATGGCACATTCAATTGATATTAATAAGGATGGTTTAATTGATTTCAATGAATTTCTTGAAACATTTCGATTAGTTGAATCAGATCATAATCATCATGAATCATTGACTAATCCACAAATAGATGAATAAATAAAAATAATTCATATCCATTTCTCTTACGTCTTTTTTTCTTCTCATAGGAGAAATAGAGAGAGAGAGAGGGGGAGAGAGAGATTTCCTATTTATTTTATAATGTCTCTAGATTAGAGATGTTGCAATTTCACTAATGTCTCTGTTGTAATCTATGAAAGACAATCAGTGGACAGTTGAAACATTGAAAAAGATTCTATTCCATTGAAAATCTTCCCTGAACGTAAATCATCTTCATTAGATACAGAACATAGAAATTCTCTTATGGGATTCAAATAATATCACTTTCAATAAAGGCCATTTTTACAGAGAGAAAGTTTTCTACAGGTGAGTTATTTTTAGTTTAAATCCTTTTTTTATTCTTTTATTGTATAGCCACACCTACTGAGCAAACATTTAACCCCGCCTATGTATCACTTCTCCTCCTCCTCCTCCTTATTTTTCTCATTTGTTTGTTTGTCATTTACTGTACTTTCTAACCAAAATATTTTCATTTTTCCTTTTATCGGTTATTCTATGATAATGAGTTGATTTACAAAATTGATTTCAAGCAGAGTTTTCTTTCTATTATCTTCTCTTCTTAATGAAAACATATTCACAATTGATTAACCTTTTCATTTCTACTGAAAGAAAAAGGCTGTGAAGATTCACATCACTAAAACTACCATCCTTATTGTTATTATCATGTCAAAAGTGTGTGTGTGTGTGTGTGTGTGTGATGTTTCAGAAAATGTTAAGCTGAGAGGTGTCATTTTGATTGATTGTATACACTTTGTAGATAATATTTTTATCCTTAGCTGTTTTTTGTGTAGTAATGATGCGCAGTGGCTAGCTGTGGAATTCAGGATGCTAGCCACTGCCTATCATTACTATATTATTATTATATTATAAGTCCCTTGGGTTCCTAATGGAACATAGCGCTTCAGTAGCACATCTCCAATGCGCCCTGTTCTCTGAAATCTTTTGAACGTGGCTCCACGACAGCCCACAAGCTCTCATTTCCTCCTCGCACAATCTCCTCCATGTCACCCTCACCTCGGAAGCACAACTCGTCGCTTCCCACCTGGATTCCATTCGATGGCCTGGCTCGTGATTTCCTCAGTCGACCTTCTCAGTGTATGCCCAATCCATCTCCACTTCCTTCCAGTGCATATTTGTTGGATGATAGGTTCTTGCTTCTTTGTTTCATTTCAAGCCAGAGTTCCTTGTTGCTTATTCTTATTATTCTGGCCATATGAGGTTCACTAACGAGCCAGCGTAGGGGGCACTTGTTGATGAATGTCTGTAGTTTCTTGAAAATAATTTTCGTAACATGCCAAGTCTCTCAACCATACAGAAGAACTTACTCGACTCACAATGGTGTTGAAAATCCACATCTTGTTCCACATGCTGAGTGTGGTGCAGTGAATCTCCACACTGGTTTCAGGCTGATGAACGCCTCTCTTGCTTTTCCGATTCTGACTTTGACATCCTGGTCTGTGCAACCACCTGTAGTTGAAACAGTGCTTCTTAGATAAGTGAAGGAGGTTACTTCCTTTAAGTTTCTCCCGTTGACGGTGATTGGAGTTTGTTGTTGGTGGTGGTGCGGTATCTTCATCACTTCTGTCTTCTCTATATTCACTTGAAGTCCCGTCTTCGCTGCCTCTTCTGTCAACTTGTTAGTTTTTGCCTGTAGATCTTCCAGTTTATGTGACATCAGGCACAAGTCATCGGCGAAATCCAAGTCTTCTAGGTTCTTTTCCGCAGTCCAGCTATCATTACTATACATAATTAAAACACAGACGATATCGAAGCATCCGTACAGGAGCCTATATGCCAACAGAGACTGATCAATTCGGTCCAATCAACCACGGTGTAATACAAGCAGTAACAATTAGCTGTTTTAATTGGGATAATTACTAGAAGTCCGGAAGTTTTGACTGATTATCCAATTGAAAATCTTATAGACAATTGAAAATATTCGCCTATTTTGTTACTTAGGAATAATGATCGTTTAGTGTTGCTAAGTTCTGTGTGTCTACAGTTCATCAACATAACTAGGTGAATAGTGTTGAGAAATATGTGAAAATGTCTAGGTAGACAAAACAACTCAGTCAATGAAATGCCTACATCAAAGTTATGAAACAGTTGAAAAGAATTAGGTTATCGTATTATCCCTACATGGTTTAACACTCTTCATTCTATCCTAGAGTTGGAAATCTAATAAAGAAAGTGTATGCTACTTTAAATTGGTAGCCACATTGTAAATATGATCGATAGGATTAGTTCTCCACTCAGGACTAGATAACATGCAATTGGTTGCTGTCCCGCAACCAACCAATGCATCCAAGCCTGTTTGACAAGAGGTCAGTCAGCCCTAGCAGCTCATTGGTAAGGTCGCTGACTATTACACTGTGGAACGCGGGTTCCAATCTCATACAGCACATCAATTCCATCCAGGTTGCAGATATGCCTTTCTGACGAGTGCTAAGAAGCATCAAGGTTTCTTGCTAATCGCCTCCAACCAACTAAAAAGAAAACTGTGTCAAGTGGTGATTCCCATTACTAGTTTTCTGCCATAAACTTGAATTCTGAATTTCATAAATAACATCGTAGTAAACTAACCAATAATGAGGAAAGAGAGAGAGAGATGAAAGTGTGAGTTACATAAACTACTGGTTAGATAATAAAAACGTACATTCAACACTGTTTACACTAATAGTTCCCAGGTTGTGCTTCGCAAGTTTTTTTCTCTTTTTTCCTCAATTCTCCTATTTATTTCCACTCAATATACCTTACTTCCTACATCAGAACATTCACCAATCTATCATCGAATGTAATTCCTTTCAACAAACACAACAAGAATACTTCATATACTACTTACAAGCCTTCTTACAAGTAGTACACATAATGATATACACAAATTTCCAGCATCTAGAACATAATGCTATTTCTAAAGACAAACCTTTTGACTAACTAAGAATTTATAAAATTTATCTTAAAAAATCTTCTATAAAACTGTCAGTAACAAGTAAGTTAACTGAATACTTTAAAAGTGTCAAGCATCACTTGTCATAATGAATAATTTATTTCTTTTCTTCACCTCTATTTATTTCAAATATTTTGGTTACAGTAAAAGAAGATAAAGAAATAAATTGTTAACATTTTAACCAAAATTATAAATTACACTAAATTTTGAGGGAGTTGTGGAGATTTGGAATTATTTCAAGTTGTTATTCATGGTAGACTGACATCTGTTGGAGGAACAAAGGAAACCTGGGAGCACTGGACAGCTGTTTCGTCCTAGTATGGGACTCCTCAGCAGTGCGCACCCACGACCCCACACCAGCAGGGATCGAACCCGCGACCTTCAGGTTCCGCGGCCATCGCGTTACCATTGAGCCACTGGGTCAGAATCGAATGCTCCATATTTCCAACTTTTGTTAGCTCACGAGATATAGCGCAACCGCCATCCAATGTCATCGCTGAGTATCTGTCCTCATGGCCATCAGGCTTTGACTCCACCAGTCACGACTTCTCATTGGAACTTCGGGAATACTTCTTGAAGCTAGTCACCAATGTGCACCAGTTCAATTAAATTTTGAGGGAGTTGTAAAGATTTAAAATTATTTCAAGTTGTTATTCATCGTAGACTGACATCAGTTGGAGGAACAAAGGATTCTGACCCAGTGGCTCAATGGTAACGCGATGGCCGCGGAACCCGAAGGTCGCGGGTTCGATCCCTGCTGGTGTGGGGTCGTGGGTGCGCACTGCTGAGGAGTCCCATACTAGGACGAAACAGCTGTCCAGTGCTTCCAGGTTTCCTTTGTTTCTCCAACTGATGTCAGTCTACCATGAATAACAACTTGAAATAATTACACTAAAGTTTAAAAAGACTTCAGTAGTGCGAAACATGAAGATGGAAGTAGCTATGATGTTTTTAGACGACCTAATTATCTGCATCGGTATTTCGATAGTATAGCATCACTTGTAATTGCAGTAGAAAACAAGTAGGAAAAAGTCTTCCAGCTTCCGATTTCCAATGTACTCTGACCCCTCCATGATGTCATACTTTAACAGACACACTAGCAGATAAAAACCTTTCTATAACATATAACCACCTTAATTATTACCCACCTACACTCATTAGGCTCCTCAGATTATGTAAGTCATCGCCGATTAAAGTCTCATTGAACAGTTGCATTGTCGATCACGCATCCGCCATTCCTTCAACAGTAAGCCGTTGGAGGAACTAATCTCTTTTAAAAGATTGCAAGTCACGATTGTGATTATTCACTGAATTCAACTGAATTTACACTCTTCACATTTAACTATATGGAAATAAACAGCTCGTCTTACTTGCAAAGTCTTGACAACCATACAACAAGATATTCTGTTGTATCTTAAGATACAATAAGTAACGAAAAAGGCAACGAAGTAACGCTAGGGTTTGTGATTACTACTGAGCGTTCTATGAACTTTAAGATTTGTCTCTGAAGGCAGTCTGCCTTCCAAAACACAAGCCTTCTTTGAATGTTCAAGTTTATCGAGCATCTGAACCCAATCGGTATGGCACCAGTTTTATATAATTACTAGAAAATATCCTGCTGATATCCACTATTATCGAAACTGTACACTCACAATCACTGCCTACTCAAGAAGCAATGCAGGTAAAGAAATCATGAATAGTCGTGTAAATAAAATGATGTGGCCTTTTCCTAACATTTTATAGCCTTCAGATAAAATCAATTATTATTTCTCCCTTGGGCTCCTAGTGAAACAAACAGCTTCACTAGCGCGTCGCAATCACCATTTCACTCTCTTCTCTACAGTCTTACAAACATGGCTTCACAAATGACAACAAATTCTCATTCATTCCTCACACAACCTCATCCATATCACCCCCACACAGGACACACAAATCATCGTTTCACATTTTGGTTCCACTGGACGACCTAGCCTGACCTGACACGTGATGACCCAAACCGTCTTTTCAGTGTCTATGTACAATCGAATCCAAT